CTATGTAGCTGTCTCGGACGCTGACACATCCAAGGGGGGCAGTACTTTGGTTGATTTGCTGGTCTTCGTACTGTCCAAGCTTCGAAGCAAAGGTGTTCCGTTGGACAAGTTCGACTTCTGTGTACAACTCGACAACACGAGTTCGTGTAACAAAAACAATGTCACAATGGCTTTTGCAGCATGTTGTGCTCACTTCAAAATGCTTTCTTCTGTCCGCTTATGCTTCCTTCGTGTGGGGCATACACATGAGGACTTCGGAGGTTGGGTGCGAGGTTGGCTGCTACAGACTACAATGAAGCTTGAAGCCTTAATGCTGAAGCCCCCTGTGAGGACATCGACCGATGGCTGGGCGAACTGGCAGGTTGCTTGTCATTGTCTGATTGCAGTCTTATTCCCTGCCCTTTTCCGTGATCTGAGGCTTTGTTCTTCGTAAACTTCCTGTTTGCCAAACTCCGGACCAGCTTATCACGGAACTCAACACCAAGTTTCTCCCTTTCACGCGGCCGAAATTCGTACCTTTCTGCCTTCAAACATGACTGGGTAAGGGTTTGGAAAAGCTTTTTGGAGTGTCTTGGCAAACGGATCTCTGGGATTTCTGGTCCGGCTGCCCCACACCACTTCGAGTTTCGTCGCAGGGACAGCTCCTTTCTTTCGATTATCCATCCTTTCATGTTGGAGCGACCGAGAGAGCCGAGCCAGAGAGAGAGAGGGAGATAAACAATAACTCAACCCAACTGCACCTATTCGACAATCCTAAATCTTAAACCAAAAACCCAAAACACTAAACCACAATCTCTAAACCCCAGCCCGTCCAATGAGGCTTGGATCCAGACGATGCCTTGGCATCCGGTAGGGCTGCAAGCGATGTGATGCTCCTGCTGCTCGACCTGACACGTTCTGGATCCCGGGTTTAGGGGACCAGCACGTTCGAGGCAGCATGTCCAGGGTTTTTAGAGTTTTACGGCTTTGGGGTTTTTAAAGTGAGGTGCAAGCAGTGGATGGCAGACTCGAACCACAGCTCTCGTTTGGTCTATCTTACCCAAGCTGATGTTCGAAACCTTCCAGGAGGCAAGCCGACAGGCCATTGCTCTAAAACCCCTAGTCCTTAACCCCTAAACCCTAAACCCGAAACCCCCAAACCCCGCAAAACCCAAAACCCTGGAACCTTAAACCCTCAACTCACAACCCAGAGCCCAACACCCCCACATCGCAGGCTTCGTAGATCGCCGGCCCAAGCCAGAGAAATATGTGAAAATGGTCAAAGGCCTTGCCGCTGCAATCACGACGCATCCGTTCACCTTGGACACGGCCGCTGGCTATTTGCGAAGCTGGGTTGACGGCACACTGGCTAGGCAACCACCCCTCGATGGCCTGGAGTTCCGAACGTTTGCTGGAAGGTCTCCTGTCAGCAAATGTGGGAATGTCTGCGATGTCTATGGAGCCGGCCCCGTCCGTGCTTCGTGTGCACAATGCTGCTGCCGGGAGTGGGTAGTCTGAGTGCAACGCGAAGATGTCTGTGCTGAACGATGTTGCACGAGACTTACATCAAAACGGCATGCCATGGTTGGAGGCCTATGCCCAGGACGTGGACATGCCAGCAGCCACCCAGGATTCAACCACCATCCAAGAATGGATGGGAAGAGAAGGATCGATGGGAGAGCACCGCGATGCTTCGAAAGATCCGTACAGCCCATTTGCGGTCTCGCTGTCGAAGGCACTTGCAGCTTGTCTCCGCCACGGACACAAGCCACGCTTGGAAGTCGACGCTGCAGGCTGGGCGAGAGTCCAGGACGTGCTCTCGTGGCCCCGGGTTCGTGAACTGGAAGCGACAGGCGGAGATCTGCTTGAGATTGTCCGGGGCAATACCAAGCAGCGCTATCAGCTCGGTCTTAAGAGCGATGGGTGCCGCTTCATACGCGCTGTCCAGGGACATTCGCGTGAAGAAGTAGGAGAAGAAAATCTTCTCGGGCCGGTGTCAGAGGAGGTACTCCCTGACACTCTACTCCACGGAACATCCTGGCATAGCTATGACAGCATCCAGCAGCGCGGCTTACTGCCAGGCAAGGCGCAGTCCCACAAGGGAAAAGGGGGACGGAAAGGACGGGAAGGACGTCAACACGTCCATTTCTTGGACGAAGCTGGAGGAGTGTCGGGCAAGCGAGAAAGCTCGACCATGATCGTACGCATCTCTACCCGCAAAGCGGTGGAACAAGGGGTGTGATTTTTCATAAGCAGAAACGGGGTGTACCTGACACCCGACGAGGTACCGCCCATCTGCATCAATAGTTTCCATTCAGTGCGAACGCAGGAGCTATACGATCGTGACGGAGAGCTGATCCCCAGGTCCAGCTAACTCCTCGCAGAGCTTGTCGTTGTGCGGAAGCTGATCTTCTTGGTGGAGTAACTCCCCGAGGGATCCCGAGGAGAAACTCCCGGAAGATTACAGCAAGGTCACTTCAGCCGGTTTTTGGTATTTTGCCACGAGCTGCAGTCACCAAGTGGAGAAACTCCCTTGGCCTTTTTGTCGGACAACTCAGAGGCCGAAATTTCAAAAAGCTCCCGAGTCTGATGCCTGTATTCCTTTCAAGGTGAACGGCAGCCAGCTGAACTCTCTTCAGGCATAAAGTAGGCAGCTTGTTTCGCTGAAGGAACACACTCATTTGTTTCTACTGAGGGGAGAAACTCCCTCGACTCGCTTGAGGCTTCGCTGCCAAGAGATACCAAGGCAACTGCGGTGCGCCATCGTCAGCCAAGCATCGCAGTTGCAACTGACAGGCCTGCAGCCTTAAGGGGCGGGGCAGCAGCAGGTGCTGAGCTTAGGCTCGACCTGCAATCTTTCAGCAACCTGCATTCCAGGAGAGATCCATCTGGGAAGCGAGCTACCACGGCTCCTGCTGTCTGGAGGGACGGGGAGCTTCCAGTGCTTTGCACCGAGTGAGTAGACTCTTTAGGCTCAGTAATTGGAAGTTGCAACTTGAGGTGGAGTAACTCCCCGACAGACCGATAGTAAGTTGAGTCGTCGCAAAGCGAGGATAGTTACACAAAGCAACCGAGGACTTCTCCCGCTGCGAGTGTTGTTGTTGTTGTTGTTGGTGGTGGTGGTGGTGGTGGTGGTGGCGTTGTTGGCGTTGTTGGCGTTGTTGGGTTCGTTGTTGTTGTTGTTGCTGCTGCTGCTGTTGTTGTTGTTGTTGTTGCTGGTGGTGTTTTTGGTTTGTTGGTTTGTTGCCGCGGCACCGCGGCCCGCGGCCGTGAACCCCCGGGCCGTTTACCTCGAAACTGCGGGCCGCGGGCCGAGGGACACGGGAGGCTGGACGTGGGACGCGGGACGCGGACGCGGGACACGGGAGGACGCGGGAGAATGCAAGAGAATTAGCCTAGTATGCAGTGATCCTGATGGCTCCCCCCCTTGATCTGCTTCGGCCCTCTGTGCGAGCCTGTCCAGCAATCTCATTCAGAGAGCCGAGTCGAACCCCCTAGATCTGATTGGCGCAACTCCCCCCCCCTGACAGCACCCCCGACAAAACATCAAAGCATACGAATGATCAATAAATAGCTCCTTCATGTTACAACATCGCAGCATGGGCACGCGCTGTAGACCGGGATGCTCTTCTCGCCATTGTGAGGCTTTGACTGGCAATTGAACATTCTGTCTGGGCGATACTGGAATCTCGGAAGCTTGAGCTGTAGTCCTGGACGGGAAGCTTGCTGACCGTCACCCGCAGCAGTTTCCCGTACCTTCCATGCAGCAAGGATGCGACGCGAGGTACTGCCGTGAGACCGTGCGGCGCACTGGCCAAAGTACTCGGGACACTTCAGAACTTCTGCCTTCGCCTGACGAGAGCGCAGGGTCACTGTCAGGACCCTCAGCTCAAGAAGCAGAGGACACGACCACATTGGTGGTGAGGCCGATGACATGCACCACGTTCCTCTGCAAGTTTGGAAGCGAAGCATTGCTCCTCACGGCTCCCTGCTGACCTGTGGCCGGCTCTTGGGAAATCCACAGAAGCAAAGCGCCGTTTTCATCACTGCCAAAGCCGGATTCAACGTCGCTTTTGCGATGATCGGGGCGGTGTTTGCAGCTCCTAACCCCAAAAAGTCGAAGCTGCCTCACGGCTTCACCGCGATTGCACACTCCATGTTCCATGGCATCTTGCAACCAGGATCCACCAAGACGAGGTATTTACATAGCGAACTATTTACATAGCAACATCCGATCGGACCGGGCTTCCATCGAAGGGATGCCTCGCACAAAAAAACTAGGGAAGATGTTGTGCAAAGAGCTTCTCGAGATTCGCAAGGGGAGACCTGCTTGTGATAATGGATGAAGCATCACGACAGCACATGAGGTCCCTCCTCAGAATTGCAGCCGGGCAGCGGAGGTTCCGGCTCCTTCCTCCGATCCTCCACAGAGGACGAGGACCCTTGCCTCAGAAGGCGATCCGCGATGTGCACAACGCGGATCGCCTTAAAGCACGACACAAGGGACTGTAGACCTGAGGCACCCGCCCAGCTCCAATCAACACTGCACTAAGCCGTCGCACCGTTGACCTCCAGACCACGATTCGCTAGCACCCGGCCACGACACTCCGTTACTAAGCACGGAGCTCCCACTTGTCACGCGCGTCGGTCCTTGGCACGCAGAATGAAAAGGCACGGTCAACAAGGTCCTGGAGCCATGCAGGTGCTTGACATCTTCAGCATGCCTTTACTGTTTTCTCATGCTGTGCCCGGTAAATGAAACAGCGGCTTCAAACTTGTCACTCGAGCTTTAAACTGTATTCGCTTGATTTCCTGGCACTCCCCTCTTCATGTAGATCTCCATCAAAGCTGCTGGGGCAGGCTCGGTGACATGTGGTGAGCACGCTTGCACCAAACCTGTACACTTTCCTGCGCCTACTGCCTGTTTTAAAAAAACGCAGCCGAACCTTCGGTGCCTTGGCCTGTGCTCCACCTGGGGGTGCTCGCTTCTTGCTTCATGGCTGGGCTCATTCCTTGTCGGACCACTTTTTGCATGTTTTCCTGCTTGGCGTTCTGCAAGATATAGCATCGTTATTGCCATGACCATGGCAAACAACCCAGCACTGTCAGCATGTCTTGCGTTTCAGTGCATGATATCCAAATAATTACCAGCAACTCCGTGCATGCGAACCCTCGGTCTCCACAAGGGTACCACTGCACACTCTCCTGCGTCAACGACCCTAGCGCTTGCGTGCAGCCTTTACTGTAAGTCTGGGAGAACGCAACATGTCTGCTATCATGCTGCTCATGTTCCTGGACACGACACATGTACACCTCAAGTGGGGTGGTATCCCTAAAATGTGGATGGCTTCCGGCAACAACTCGTTTTTTGGCTGACGATTTGTTCTCGTTCGATGCCTGGTTGTCCGAAGTTCTGCTCAAGGTTTAAAGTCTAATCCCTGCCAGCGTTGTTAAGCTGGCATGCTCCGCGTTTTGATTGGACCTTGCCCTTGCACATTTGACAGTCAAACCCCCTCCGGGGCTCCAATAGGGTTCACAGCTTCAGCTTCAGGCTTTCCTCTGAACGCTTATGACCCGTTTGACTGTCGCCCCCGGCAGCCTAGGTTTAGGCTGCTGGGTTTTAGGTTTCATGGATGAAGGTTCAGGGAAAGTTTCGAAACCTTCTGAGCTTTTTTATGCCCAAAGACGCTTGATACATGTCCAAGGGCTGATGAAACTGAGGCTGGACCGACTGCTTCAAAAAAATGATCTCGCGACCTCCGCACTTTGGTGCAAAAGTTCTGACTCGCACACCAAAGTGACCTACAGTCAGCAACCTTCAAGCAGCAATGTGCCATGCTTCGAAGCGGCTCTGAAGGCCTTTGCGGGGTGGTTGCCCAAGGTGACGTGCTCGCGACGAGTGTCCAGCAGCTGGAAGCTTTAAACCAAACTGTTGAACATCGTGCCACAACGAATTGTGCTTGCGCCATATTGTGCGTACGGGCTCGGCTGCTCCTGATGAGAAGTGAGAAAGGAACAAGAGAACACAAGCCAGCAGGTAGCCTCACGAGAAGAATGAGCTTGCCGACTTCCTGCCGATCCATCCTCTTTAGCGAGACGCAGCAAACCAAACAAACTCTGAACCCGGCTAGCCCAGAGAAGATAAGTAGACCAAAGAAAGTAGAAACCTGGCCACAAGAAGGCTGTTTGCACAAAAGAACAAATGCAAAGCGGAGGAAAGCCTGGAATCCCTAGAGTTCTGGAGAATCGACGATTATGAGACATCAGCGATAGCAGCACGTAGGAGGAGCAGGAGCAGCAGGCAGTAGCAAGGATGCAGACGGATGAGGACAGTGACAATCCTTTCCGGCGCACAGAAGCGTAAGCACGGTACATGTTCATGCGTGGGACTCCAGCAAGTATAGAGACCTCAAAAGCGCGAGGTCGGACAAGGGTCACAAATGGCAGATTCGATGCATCCATTTGCTGCTATCATGCCGAGTGCAGCACCTTGGGCCCCCCCCTGAAGCTCGCCACATACACAAAAGCTTCACCCAAGTCCCGCGGGATCTGAGCTATCCACTCCAACTCACCCGAGCTTCCCGTCAAACCAATCCCACTCCCACTGCCTTTCAAGCTGTTACGACAGGATGCAAACGAAGCTCTGACTCTGTGCCTCGTTTCGAGAAGGCCAGCCCTCGGGACAAGTCCCTCTTGGCATCTTGTACTCTGGAAGTCAAAACAGGACTTTGATTCACCTGTCACAGCATTCGCAGCCGCGATCAAAGCTGGTCTTGCTCAAAGCATGCGGGAGTCAAGTCCGCCAGAGAAGCTCGAATCGCAACCAGAATGAAGACTTCCAGAAATCGAAGCCTCGAATCATCTGCGTGAGGCAGGCCCGATGTGCACGGGAATGGCCTGTTGCAGAAGTCGTCCTTCTCTGCTGCGGAGGTACTGGCGTCAACCTCTGCGGAAGCCGCGGAACGCGGCTCATTGCGGTGCGAAGCGTGCTGCTGGTGTGCTGCTGGCGTGCTTCTGGTGCCTCGAGCGCAAGGCCAGGTCCCAGAGGCGCCCCGGGGCGAGTGAAGATCGCCTCCGCAGGACGACTATCGACTGCCGCCGATCTCTCTCAAGTTAGATAGCTTGAGGTTCTCAAGGATTCGCCTCTTCACGATGCGCACCTTTTCCGCATCGCACACAGCTTGCAGTTCGCCCTGCTCTCCCTCACTTCATGAAGTACGACAGGGTCAACTGATTTCTCGCGCTCCTCAGCGAACGCAGGATGGGGAGGTCACGTGTTCATCTGATTGCGATGAAGCCAAATTTCGTGGGCTCCTCAGTCGGCAACTTTGGCCTCAGCTTGACAAGGGCCATGCTTTCGCAGTGTGGCACTGCTCAGCTCTGCACCAAAAATCGGACTCCGATGCAGATGGCGGACTGTCCCATCTCGTCCTCTCGCAAAGGCGGCACTCGCAAAACGCAAGACTGCATCATTCGCATAATCGCATCGAGGCCCGCTGCTCTGGCTCTGCCGAGTCAGGTCCTCACTGACATTCGCAGCCAAACTGCAAAAGTCATCTGTGCCTGACGACTGGTGTTGCATGCGAGCAAAGGAATACAAGGGCGGGCTGCAATGCCGAAGACTTGGGAGTGCACATGCAACGCAAGCATCTTGCACTAGACTGACTTACTGCAGCGGCGCATGGCCTCCGAATATCGGATCGAAGGGTCCCTGGATCGTGCGGCCCACTGCCAACTCGTACTTGGACTGAGCAGAGGCAGCTGCAGGTTGCAAAACTAAAGCTCATGGCAATCTCTGAGTGCTCTACTCAAATATGCAATTGCCCAAACTTCTGTGCTTTCGCGTGCATGGTCAACAAGTTGGTCTGAGACATTGTTGAAGGCGGGGGGCATGAACACAACTTCCTCCCGTCAGGAGGGGATTACTTGGAAGGATGTCCAGCTTGATGCCTTGAAGCCCGAGCATACAAGCCTACAAGCACTTAGCGGTGTAGTGCGCCCACGGTGCATCGAAGTGGGGCTGGTTTGCCTTGCTGCAGTTCGCCTCGTGCGTTTTTTGGGTGGCTTGTATTCCGTGCTTCAGTTGGCTCACGTTCTTGTTTGAGTCAAGGCTTCCTGGGCACACTGTGTCGGCATTGTGTTGGCCCCTGTGTCTTGTTGCGCCCCACCCTCTGCCACCCTACGGCGCATCATGTGGGGTCAAAAGTGCGCCCATGCTGGGTTACACATGGCATGCTGCGAGACATGTATGTCTTGTTCTTTGTTGTTGCCATAGCTACTGCTACTTCGACTTGGCAGATGCTATGCAAGTGCGAAAGCTTTGATCCCACAGTGCCACAGTACAACCACAACACCTCACCTCATCTAGCTATGTTTTCACGACTGCTCCTGCAGATTCCTCAAGTCTCTCAGGAAACTCTCAGGATCCCCCACAAACAGTCATACCACCACAGCAGTGCCAAAAGTGGGAAATCCTCAGCCCGGTGAGCCTGCGCGTTCTGGGAAACTACGGCAAAAACAGAAGTCGCGGAACCTCTACCTGGTTCTCTCTTGGCTCCTCTCCCCAAGCCTAAAAGGCCCGCGCCCCAAGGGTTGTGACGAAAGCTCACAAACCGGGGGCAAGCTGCACGGGGGCGGAACAGGACGAAGATAGGCGATACTTCTTTTTCACTTGCCGCTGCACGTCACCCACCCCGACCCGGCACCAGGCATCATAAGCATCATCGGCGCTCCAAAAAGACGTCTCTCCTAGAGTCCTGCGTGCAGCCCCGAAAAGGAGCACGCGTGGCCCACGCCCGAAACCCGTCATGGCCTGGGGGTTGGCTCGAAAACGGAGGGCGCTTTGGGCCACTTTCTGGGTGGTGGGGCCCCCCCCCCACACCCCTATAGCTGATCAGCAAAGCTGGGTCTCAAACGAAAGCTCTTCCCTCCACGGAGTGAGCTTTAAGGGCCTCTCTCATCTGCGTCCTTGTCTCCTTCCTTCGGGCATAGAGGGCTGTCAAGGCCCTCGGGCTCCAGGCGCGTCCTTCACCCTTGTCTTGGCCCTAAAACCCTCGACCCCAAAACTCTGAACCCTTAACTTTGAGTGCCTGCATCTGCATGTCTGCGCCCCACGCCACGACCTTGCCTAAGTTCTTTTGGTAAAACAGGATCTGGCGGAGCCCTCTTCTGGCAAGTCGCTTGCTCCCGCCTCATCCTGTTAGGTCGTACAACAACCCCTTGATCCATGTTGCGAGCAGAATTGCAGCTGGTCCCTCCCTGGGATCCCCCACAACTATCACGGATGGAGGGCAACAAAATGCGAGTCTCCAATCTGTTCGGGTGGGTCTTAGGAAGGCAAGACTCGTGCAGTCCCCTGCCCGTTAATAGTCCTTGACCTGCGCCCCACCTTGGTATGTCGAAGTCGTACTCCCCAGGTCTTGTCGAACACCTCTCTCACTCTCTATGCTCCACTCGCAGCTGTGGCCTTCACCCCGACCCCTGCGCGCGCGTGCTATCCACACGTCCCACGACCCATGTCGGCGTGACACTTCTCCACTTTGAGCTGCCCCTAGCTCGACCCCCAATCCATGACTCTTCTCTTGCTAAACTCTGTTCAGAACCCTCTGACTGCGTGCCCCGGCTCCATTGGCAGCCGCTGTCCCCGAACATAGGGGCTTGGCACTTTGGGTTGGAGGACATTTAGCCTATTCGTCGGAAGATACCGCCAATTCACCCAGGGAACTTAGGTAGTCTACCCCTCTAAGGTAGGTGCTCCCGCCCCCACATGCCTTTCACCAGTGACATGTCACAACAACAGCAACCCGAATGTCAAGCACGGAGACGAAGGAGGAAGACGAGGAAGAGACAATGTGATGGCGACAGCCGGATCGAAGAAAACACAGGCCCGAACCCACGGCATATCGAGCGGATGCACCAAATAGAGGGAGCAGCTGTCCTGCACACCAGAGGTTGTTACGCAGATGTGGTCATGAGCAAGTCGCAGACAAAGTCAGACAAGCTCGTGCGCCTCCCTCAGACAAAAAACTGTCCTCTTGCTGGGCATGTAATGCACCTACAAGGACCACCGCGAGCGGCGTGGTGGACGCTCTGGCTGTAATTGATCAATTGAGACGGCGATATCTGTCGAGCAACCGTTTGGGAAGAAGCGCAGGCAGAGGTCGTGCAGATGGCCAACACCTGCGCGTCATGCAACCATATGTCAAGCCACGCTTCAGGATTGGAGTGTTTGCGATGCGTGCCAACAACAGCAGATCCCTTACAGGCTAGTCAGGAACTCTCCAAGGGTTCGGACAAATTGCGCGCAACCCCGTCAACGTCACCAGCACAATGATCACCAACCACGGCAGAGCCGGAGGTGAAAACCATTGGGTGTATGGAAGGACGCTGGCGGCTTCTATTCACCTGCAAATGTTTTCTGCTGCGGGCGATTGGTATTATAGTAAGTCAGGAAGTGCATGCAGCGACCTGCATGTCGTTCATTCTAGATTCTAGGAGTAATCCATAAATCATGTAAGTACAGTACAAAAACCAAATACTGCAGCTATCTGCAGCTATCTTAGGGGATCTACAACGGTTTCACAGAGGTTGAAGGGTTTACACCCTAAATCATTACACTTTGATGTTCATCGGAAGTGGTGGGTACAGTACAACTATATGGAGCAAGGCGCCATGCTCACCCGGGGGCAAGTTGCAACGACTGGACGAGAGAACGCAAAACACCCTTGTCCTGGTCATGCTCGGCATGTCTTGGCAGCACTTGAGAGCAGAGCGGAAGAAAGCTAGGGGGAGGGAAGTGGCAGCTGTGTATTGCAGATGCGTGCATGTGTTGGTAGGCAAATTTGAATGATGCAGTGCTACTTGTATGCTGTGTTGCAAATTGGTTCATGAAACCCAAGCCTGTGCTGAACGACGAAACGGAAAAGGTCGTTCCTCAACGCAAGAAACACTAACAACTCTGAAACGTTTGTTTGCCCTCCGGCATACTCGTCGATGCTGGTGCTTGTCAAC